AAAACTGACAAGATGTTAGAAATAACAAAGATAGCTGTTTGTTGCTTGGCTGGGAGATTTTTGTTTTAGGTAAACATGGAAACTTAAAATTTACCATAATCTTTACATTCTTGTCCAGGAAGGTCACAAACCTTAACTCCAGGGATACCAGGGTAGAAAATTAACCTTTATCTGGGACAGTCATTTTTTACTGCAGAAGCTTCTGGGTCAGAGGACTGCACTATTTATTAAGATGTGAGGTTCCAGCATCAGACTAAGATTTAGTATTTAAAGAAAGTTAAATATTAAATATATTACACATTTTTTTTCTAACACAAGGTACCAAAATAAATTATATTTTAACTCATTTAATATAATTTTAGTGGGATTTGGCAATGAAGTAAGATTACTAGAACCTCCCCCTTCTATATCTTGTAATGTACATTGTACGTTTAGACCAGTTTCTCAGTTTTTGTCATTCAAAATTCTCATTCCTCCAAATGAAGTTTAAAAACTTGGATTTCCCATCCAAAATTGCTGTCTTCTAAAAAATATACAATTTAAGTGCAAAGAAAGCACTTAAAATGTTCTACCTTACTTCTCCTATAGATAAAATGAATATATTGGAATATCAATTACATACTCTATGCTTTACACAGCCCAAACTAAAGTGAACCAGGAAAGGCAATTTTATCCTAAGAAATTACTATAGCGAGAGCCATAGTATATACACAGTCATGTGCCACAACATTTTGATCAATGATGAAATGCATATACAAACGACAGTGGTTCCCTTAAGATTATAATGCCTCATCTTTACCATTTTGATGTTCAGATACACAAATACTTCCCATTGTGTTACTACCGCCTACAATAGCATGCTGTACAGATTTGTTGCCTAGGGACAACAGGCTATACCATACAGCCTAGATATACCACCGAAGTTTGTGTAAACACACTATGATAACACAACGAAACCACCTAACAATGCCCACCTTCACTGATAAATGACACATAACTATGTGTGTGCACAAGACTCTGTGTGTGTGTATACAGATTTGTATACGCCTGAATGTAACCATGTGTATAACAGCTAGGCATGGTGGCTCACGCCTGTAATTCCAGCACTTTGGAAGGCTAAGGCGGGCAGATTGCTTAAGCCTAGGAGTTCAAGATAATCCTGGGCAACATAGGAAGACCTCGTCTCCACTAAAAATAAAAAATTAGCTGGGCATGCTGGTACACACCTATAGTCCCAGCTACTAGAGAGGCTGAGATGGGAGGATCACTTGAGCCCTGGGAGGTTGAGGCTGCAGTGAGCCATGACTGCCCCCCATTGCACTGTGGCCTAGGCGATAGAGGCTGTCTGAAAACAACAACTGTGTGTATATATACAGTAGTCCCTCACTTACCCAAGGTTTTGCTTTTGAGGGTTTGTTACCCCCAGTCAACTGAGTCAATCACTGTCCAAAAATACAAAAATGGAAAATTCCAGAAATAAATAATTTATAAGTTTTAAACTGTGCGCTAAGTAGTGTGATGAAGTTATGCACCGTCCCACTCTGTACTACCTGGGAAGTGAATCATCCCTTTGGTCAACAAATATTTGCATTACATATGTTACCTGCCATTAGTCATTTAGCTAACTGTCTCGGGTAGTAGATCAACTGTCCACATATGGCAGTGCCAGTGTTCAAAGTAACCCTTATTTTACTTAATAAGAGGCCCAAAGCACAAGAGTAGTGATGGTGGCATATTGTAATGACTGTTCTACTTTATTATTGTTGTGGTTGATCTCTTACAGTCCCTAACTTATAAATTAAACTTCATCATAGACATATACATATAGAAAAAAACACAGTATATACCGGATTTAGTAATATCCATTGTTTCAGGTATTCACTGTGAGTCTTAGAACATATTTATCAGGAATAAAGCTAGTAGAGGTTGGGGGTGGGGGGAAAAGTATTGTATAACTTAAACTGAGAAACTCTTAGCTTTGGTTATCACACTGCACATGTCATATAACCAATCAGTTAATGAAGTCCAACCTGGTAAATATTCAAGGTACTGAAACACAATTACTGTATACAAGGAACCCAGTGAACAAGACAGATGTACTCTGAGCCCTCAGGGAGCTTCCAGTTGGGTAATGTAGAAAACATGTTATTTTTAATGCAGTAACTCATTACACATTACTCATACACGTTTTGGATAGATTATTTTTTAACTGTTCTTTGTAGGAAACTTTGTAAAAGCTTAATAAAATTTATACAAGGTGTCTGCGATAACAGAAAAGATGCGTATTTCCTCCTTATATAGAAAAATAGCATTTAATATTAGCTAACACCAACATTGTAACACTTTTCAAATCCAGTTTATTGGGCAAATTATCACCACAGGAATGACAGGGAGCTAGCAATCTGCCCAGTTATATGGGTTTCAGCTTCTAGGTATGAGTATTATAGAAGCATAATTATAGATTATAGAAATTAATGTGTGCCGGGCGCGGTGGCTCACGCCTGTAATCCCAGCGCTTTGGGAGGCCGAGGCGGGCGGATCACAAGGTCAGGAGATCGAGACCACGGTGAAACCCCGTCTCTACTAAAAATACAAAAAATTAGCCGGGCGCGGTTGTGGGCGCCTGTAGTCCCAGCTACTCGGGAGGCTGAGGCAGGAGAATGGCGTGAACCCGGGAGGCGGAGCTTGCAGTGAGCCGAGATCGCGCCACTGCACTCCAGCCTGGGCGACGGAGCGAGACTCCGTCTCAAAAAAAAAAAAAAAAAAAAAAAAAGAAATTAATGTCTTTATTACCCAGATAGGTGCAAAACCCTTAATTCAAGAACTCTACGAACAGGAGTCTTTTCACTGTTCTGTGATTAATATAATTGCCAATTTCTGCAACTTAGACTCATTCGTTATCAAGATCTTAAACCATTTATGGAATCATTTGAGAAGGAACTTAACGTTTGTGACATGACTGAGATTTTTAGAGGGTTTATCCTCATAATTTCCTGTTTCATGTTAGGCAATAAAGCACTTAGAGTACCATTTTTCCTTAAGAGAGGAAGAGCCAAGTATTGATTCTAACTATAAAGCTAGGCAGCATGCAATGATGATCAAGTAAATGATACAACCTGTAGGTTACCTAAAACTCTCCCAAAAACAAATAAACAATTCCAGTAGGTAGGTGCTAGTTCTCCATGTAGCCCAGAAACAATCTTTGTTCTAAACTATAAAGATAAAGCACTTATATAAACTTTTTAAATAAAGTTATGAAAATTAAATTAAAAAAAAAAAACTAAGCAAATGTGAGGCAAAGAACCTTCTCAAAAGTGGGGAAACGCATCCTATGTATAGACAACAGGTGACATCACTACTTCCCAATAATAGCTATACAGTTTATGTATTTGTATTGCATTATCACCACTAAATCATTTCTAAAGCAAAACTTTTAAAATCATCTACTTTTCTTCTTCAATGTGCATTACTGCGTCTACTCTATCAATGACTTGTAAATATTTTCACATTAGACAACGAATTCTTGAGAAGTACTGAATTTCACTTATGTTTGTGTTTGGTTCATTTCGCCCACCACAACCACTACAGACTCCCATATCCACAGCTCATAAATTACAATCAGATGTTTGCTGAATACTTACTAATTAAGAGTATGTATTTTTAATAACTGAGTTAACTAAGTAAAAGCAGTTTCTTTTACTCACTAACACCATGCAATCCTATGTTCACATTCCTTCTCGATTTCTCAGAAAAAAACAAAAAACAAAACACAAACCCAGGGAGATTTTTTAGCATTTAGTTTAAGGATGGAACATCAAACTGCTATAACCTAATCAAAGAACTGCTTTAGGATAAGGGCAGTATCTTAAACATATTCCCACCCACTCCACTTTCCAAGCTTGTCCCTATCCTAGGGCAGTTCACTGAACCATGAAGACTCTCCTGATGTAGAAACCAGAAAAATTAAGAAAAAAGGATCACAGGCCTAAGTAACTTGACTCTAGAGCCCACTTAACAAACCCCCACAAAAATCTCCCAAATCAGTTAGGCACACAGAAGAGATGTGTGAGACACAGAGCAGCGACCGTGTCATATTATTAACTAAAATCTTTCCAAGACTATTATGTTAATCTTAGGGTTGAAGAAGATCTTAAAGCAGCATTTAATCTAAACCACTCTCCAGACAGATATTGATGTAGGACCTACATTAACATCTCTAGGGCTTGGGAACTTAGTATATCTTTCCATTATAGCAACATCACTTCTCCCTACATGTCACTGAAATTTATCCCTCCAACTCTCTATAACTTGCATCCATCTGTTTCTGACTGTACCCTCTGGGACCTACACACGTTTTTCTAGCATAATAGACCCAGGATTTCTTTGTCAGCCTAAGTTACATAGTTATCTTTCCAAACTAAGTATTCATTTTTCCAAGTACTATGTTTTTCCAAAATGAGTATTCGAGGAACAAAACGGCTAGTTCCCTTTGCCTACTGAACAGGAACAGCCAGAAGTTATTTGCAGATATTTCTCAAGATTAATAATCTGCCAGTGCCACTTCTTAAACATGCTCACTTACCACACTACTAGTGTTGATCGCGGCATTTGGGGTTCTCAAATTGTAGTCTAACAGAAATGGTTGTCCTGAAAATACGCATTACATCCGCATGATCCTACCAGGAAATAAACCTAGGAGCTTGCAACTCAGAAGGGCCCCCTCTCAGCCCAAGACAGCTAAACGGAAAATCAAGCCTGAAATCCGGATCAAAGAAAAACCCTACCGAGATGAAGTGTTAGGCCATATGGAGACCGAGGACGAAAGGGCAGGCCTGGTCTCCGCCAATGAGTCCAAGTGTCTCGGTGGGGGCGACCGGCTCCTCACGAGGCAAGCTAACCTCCCCAACCCCCACTCCCGCCCCGCAACGACGACCACTGCTCCATCACTCCACTCCCGAGCCCCAGCCTCGCCTCCGCCCGTCACCTTTCTCCGCACTAACCTTTCTCCTCCCGACTGTCGGCCGCCATTGCTCCCCTTCGGTTTCCGCCGCTGCCGCCGCCGCCGCCGCCGCCGCTTAGACGCGACTCGCGCGGGTGCCGCAGCCGCGGCAGAAGCACGGGCCCGTCCGTCAGTCCGTCCGCCCGGCTGCGCGAGTCGCACTTGGCCTCTTTAACACTCAGCCTTCTCGACTCTTCCCTCTTTTTCCCTTTCTCCCTTCCTTTCACTCCAGCTTCCAGCCGCCTAGGCCCAGCCTTCTCGTTAGGGCTCAGACTCGAGCGAGGGTATGGGGGAGGGAAGGGAAACAGATGGCGACGGCGGGCGGCGCTAAAATGGAGCCTGCTTCCTGCGCGAAACAATCCCGCTCCCGAAATGCCGTGCGCTGTTTACGCTTCGTTCCTCTCTGGGAACGTCACAGTACGGAGAGGGGCGGGGAGGCGGGACGTGCAAAAGAACGTGACGTGACGTCAGCGCGTCACCCCGCTGCTCTCAGCCCGCTGGTACCTGGAAGGAGTCTTATGCAGAGATTAGGTTGCCCAGGCTGTTCATGGAGTTCCGGCTGTGCTGGCTATACCCGGATGGCGTAATTTTCCAACCTGAAACTCTTAGTGGGATGCCTGCCAGGCCTTTTTAGCTAGAGTCTCTCTAAAGGACTCCTGATTCAGTTCGGGAAATCGGAGTCTTATTTAGGACAAGTCTGGGTGAATCCTTTATGTTTACCAGATGTGCTTTCTTAGTTGGGGTTCCACTCTTACCCAAAGGCAATGCAGCATGCAACCAGCTCCTTTGTAGTCACAAAAGCCTACTAGTTTTTGTTTGTTGTGAGACGGATTCTCGCTCTGTCGCTAGGCTGGAGTGTAGCGGCTCCATCTCCGCTCACTGCAACCTCTGCCTCCCAGGTTCAAGCGATTCTCCTGGCTCTGACTCCCAAGTACCTGGGATTACAGGCGCCCGCCACCATGCCCAACTAATTTTTTTTATTTATAGTAGAGACGGAGTTTCACCATGTTGGCCAGGATGGTCTCGATCTCTTGACTTCATGATCCACCCACCTCGGCTTCCCAAAGTGCTGGGCTCACAGGCGTGAGCCGCCACGCCCGTCCTAGGTTTGTTTTTAATTGGGGAAAGAATTGTATCGTAATATGTCTTTGTAATTAACAACTAATTTAAACATGTATCAAGGCCCTGGGGCACAAAATTGATTAAAGCAGACCATCCAGGAATCGAAACTACAGAAGAAATGACCAGTAGATACATAACTACATAGTGTGGTAAAATCTGCAAGAGAAACTTGCTTAAGATTCATTATCCAATGGAAAGAAAATCTAATTTTGCTTCCCTGAACTATAACTGAATTATAAGGGTAAGAAAAATCTGCAAAAAGGTAACTAAGTAAGTTTATGATATGAAGACAAACTGGCAAACTAATTTCATATTCAGAGAAAGACAAGTAGTCTAGAAGTCTAGAATGTAGTACCTCTTTTTTTTTTTTTCCTTGAGACTTGGTCTCACTGTCACACAGGCTGGAGGTGCAGTGGTGTGATCGTGGCTCACTGCAACCTTGGGCTCAAGTGATCCTCCCACCTTAGCCTCCCCGGTAGATGGAACTACAGTCATGCTCCACCACACCCGGCAAATTTTTTGCATTTTTTGTGGAGATGGTGTTAGCCATGTTGCCCAGGCTAGTCTCTAACTCCTGGGCTCCAGCAGTCTTCCCACCTCGGCCTCCCAAAGTGCTGGGATTACAGGTGTGGAGCCACCAGGACTGGTCCTGTTTCTAGGACCTTAATTGGACATTAATTTGAATATATGAACCTGCACACACCACAAACACACACACATTAAATAATATCTGATGATCCTGAGGAATTGCTATTTGTATTTTTAGTTGTAATAAGTTATCTTTTTTTTTAAAGAATTTCTTACAATTTCATGATGCATATGAAAATATTTGCAGGCCAGGTGCAATGGCTCACACCTGTAATCCCAGCACTTTGGGAGGCTAAGGTGGGCGGATCACCTGAGGTCAGGAATTTGAGACTAGCCTGACCAACAAGGTGAAACCCTGTCTCTACTAAAAATACAAAAATTAGCCGGGCGTGGTGGCGTGTGCCTGTAGTCCCAGCTACTCGGGAGGCTAAGGCAGAAGAATTGATTGAACAAGGGAGGTGGAAGTAGCAGTGAGCTGAGATTGTGCCACTTTCACCACAGCCAGGACAACAGAGCTAGACTGTGTCTCAAAATAATAATAATAAATATTTGCAAATGAAATTATATGGTATCTGGGATTTATCAAAATAAACTGGTGGCAGGTGTAGGAAAGTGGGTGGGAGAAGAGATTAAACAAGTCTACCCATGAGTTAATAATTGTTGAAGCTGGGAGATACACATGTGAAAGGAAAATCTTCCCCAAATCACTAAGCCAAAGGAAGAAGTCAAGCTGGTGATTGATGTCTCACGTATCCCTAAAATGTATAAAATGAAGCTGTGCACGAACACGTTGGGCACATGTCATCAGGACAGCTTGAGGCTGTGGTGGGCTCTTTCTTAACCTTGGCAAAATAAACTTTCTAAATTGATTGAGACTTGCCTTAGATACCTTTTGATTTACACATACATTAGTAGATATTATAGTCTCTTCTCTACTTTTGGCAATTTGAGTTTTCTTTAATAATTTTTATAAGGGCCGGGCGCGGTGGCTCAAGCCTGTAATCCCAGCACTTTGGGAGGCCGAGACGGGCGGATCACGAGGTCAGGAGATGGAGACCATCCTGGCTAACACAGTGAAACCCCGTCTCTACTAAAAATACAAAAAACTTAGCCGGGCGAGGTGGCGGGCGCCTGTAGTCCCAGCTACTCGGGAGGCTGAGGCAGGAGAATAGCGTGAACCCGGGAGGCGGAGCTTGCAGTGAGCTGAGATCCAGCCACTGCACTCCAGCCTGGGTGACAGAGCGAGACTCCGTCTCAAAAAAAAAAAAAAAAAAAAAAAAAAAAAAAAAAAAAAAAAAAAAATTTATAAGGAAGAGCAAAAGAAAACAGCCAAGTAATTTAGAAGATATAAAAATGCCGTTTTCCGTGATTCTACATTTGTCCTATTAGAACTAAGGAGTAATTTTTAATGTAAATAGAATTCCATATGTGCATCTTTGTTATTAAAATAAGTTTATGGGGCCAGCTGCAGTGGCACATGCCTGTAATTCCAGCCCTTTGGGAGGCCGAGGCAGGTGGATTGCTTGGGCTCAGGAGTTTTAAGACCAGCTTGGGCAACCTGGCGAAACCACGTCGTGCACTCCTGTAGTCCCAACTTCTCTGGGGGCCGAAGGGGGAGGATTGCTTGAGCCGGTGAGGTTAAGGCTGCAGTGAGACATGACTACACTCCTGCACTCCAACCTGGGCAACAGAGTGAGACCTTGTCTCAAAAAATAAACTGAAGTAAGTTTATGTTAAACTAAGAGCACAGCTGTAAAAAAAAAAAAGTGGTTTTTAATTCAGTCATGTTAGTAAATAGGAAAAGTTGTTGAGGTTATAAAGAGTGAACTCTAGATATGTTGAACATTGGTCTGAAGGTACTGTATAGTGATTAAGAGAGTAAGCTTTGCAGTCATAATGACCTGGGTACAAATTCCAGCTCTGTCTCTCAATAGCATGAGACCTTAGAGAAATTAATTTCTAATCTTTAGTGTCTTCATAAATGGGAATTTAGAAATAATTTCTGAAGGATTGTTATAATGTTTCAAATGATTTTTTTTTAAAGGCAGTTAAGTGATCAATAAGCTGGAGCTATTGTTATTTTTATTGTTCCTGTAGTTCAGGAAAGATGGATTTTTCTAACAATTATTGTTGGTGAACTTAAACAGAAAATGTAATATTGAGGGACTCAGATTTTTGGCCTAGCTATGGGTGGAAATAACTTTCTGGGTAAAGATGCTAAACTAAAAACGTACAGCCGAAAATCCTCTTCAGACCTGAGGGATCATCACAATATTATTGTAAAAATATAACAATGAACATGGGAGTACAGATATCTCTTTTGAGATCCTGATTTCAATTGTTTTGGATATATACACAGAAATAGAATTGCTAGATCATATGGTAGTTCTATTTTTGAGGAACTTCCATACTCTTTTTTTTTTTTTTTTTTTTTTTTATAGTCACTGCATTGTTTTACATTCCTGCTATGGTGTATAAGTATTCCAATTTCTCCATATCCTTGCCAAAACTTGGTATCTTTTGAAACAACTTATACGTATGTTGAAAGATGAATGGGTTAAAAAATATATGGTTTATACATTCAAATGAATACTATTCAGTCTTAAAAAAGAAGGAAATCGGCCAGGCACAGTGGCTCATGCCTGTAATCCTAGCACTTTGGGAGGCCAAGGCAAGCCAATCACTAGAGGCTAGGAGTTCGAGATTAGCCTGGCATACGTGGTGAAACCCTGTCTCTACTAAAAATACAAAAATTAGCCTGGCGTGGTAGCTCGCACCTGTAATCCCAGCTACTCAGGAGGCTGACAGGAGAATCGGTTGAGCCTGGGAGGCAGAGGCTGTAGTGAGCCGCGATCGCACCACTCACTACACTCCAGCCTAGGCCACGGAGGAGAGACTGTGTCTCAAATTTTTAAAAAAAATTGAAAAAAGGAAATCTTACTGTATGTAACAACGTGAATGACCCTGGAAGATGTTATGCTAAGTGAGATAAATCAGTCGGAGAAGGACAAATACTGTACTGCATGATTCCACTTTTATGAAGTATCTAAAATATTCAGATTAATGGAAACAGTAAGATGGTGGTTGCCAGGGACTAGGGGGAAAGGGAAATGGGGAGTTGCTGTTCAACAAGTATAAAGTTTTAGTTCTGCAAGACGAATAAGTTATAGAGAGCTAGTATACAATATTGTGCCTACTATTAATGTTACTGTATTCTGCACTTAACATTTTGTTGAGGGTAATTTCATGTTCAAGGTTCATACTATAATAAAATGTTTTTTAAAAAACCTCAATAATTACCAAAAAAGTATTTCAATATGTAGTAAAAAGAAATAGAATGCTTCTGAAGGCAGTTCCTTTTATGCTCATAACGAATTGTGAATTGAGATGAGTGGAATTTAGCAATAAAAAGTGTCGAGAGCATTAGGCAATATTGATGTCAATTCTACCTAATTTCATCTATAGATTCAAAACAATCCCAATCAAAACCTCAGTGTGCTTTTTAACAGAAATTCACAATGTGAATTGAAATTTACAAGGAAATGTCATGGATACAGGATAGCCAAAACAATTTTGGAAAACAATAACAGTTTTGGAGGACTAGCATTACCTGATTTCAGGACTTATAAACTTATGGTATCAAAACAGTGTGGTATTTATGTAAAGTAAGACAAATACATCAA